AGAGAGGCCCCCCCCACACCTCCTTGTAAAATGATTTTTTGCTACAAAGGTTGTTCGAAAGTTTCACCTTCTAGGTTTCATGAAGGAAAATAAAAGAAGCGTGCAGGTTCTTCTTTATATATATTTCCCATGATGTATACTCAATGCATTACCCAGCAGGACATAGAACGAAAGACCTGGAATGTGAGAGTCGAGTATCGAGTGTGTTCCATGTCATTTCATGAGAACAGTGAAGTTCCCAAAGCCAACGCAAATCCCTCTAAGAATGGAAAAACTCGTAGTCTTTCTAATGAACTGCAATTAATCTTAACAAAAGACGACCCCTCAACGCCATCTGACAAGGTTCCAAGTAGTTCCTCACCATTCAATAGTACGTCTCCCCTATAAACAATTTGCATTTACAAGTCCTATTTTCACAGACATTTATTCCTTACGATAATGCCAAAATGTGTAACAGGTAATAAAAGGAACCTTTCACACCATTAAAAACAATATCAAACCGCATATAAGACAGTTTGAATTGAGGTCTGCCCGCAAAATGGTGGAGCAGTGACATTCGAGAAGACGGTCTTATTACTGACTGAAATTGAACAAAGGGAATCTATCGCCAAATTGTGATGGCAAACTACTTGATAGTCTATAGTGAACTCTGTGTTATAACCTATATCTCGATTTGCAACAATTAACCATAAGCTCATTATACAATTTAATATACTCGGAATAAAGAAGGACAAGAAGGTAGTTGTCCAAATTATTTAGGTAAAAGACGCTGTGTATTAGATACAACAAAATACATATGCATAATTTGTTTATCCATGCATCATATGCGTTCCGACCTACTGTCATAAGCGTTATTACCAATTGCTTTAGTGAAGATGAGAATGTCGCCCTTTCACTGTCAATTCGAATCGATTGAAAAAGTCATGCAAATTTTTTTTTTGAAAACATTAATGCAAAAAACCTCAAATTTACTTCAAAAAAATCTTCCATGTTAGCGAAAACACTCGATATAAAATCGACTCCATCCACAAAATTTTCTTCGGTTTTATTCTTTGAAGAGAGTGCATTTAGTAAGTTGGGTTAAATCCAGGTAGCTACTTTGAAACATTCATGTAAAACGTTTGAAAGAGCTTTTTATTTGGGACAAACAACAAGGGGTCCTGAGGGGCTGGATTGAGTTCCCACAAGTAACCTTCTTACACTACATGCTTCTGGAGCTCCCTTCGTTCTCTTAGTGTACAAAACCCCTGCTTTTCAAAGCCGCTTTAGACATTTAGAATAAGGAACTTTGAAAATTCTGCAACATTTACAAAGCAACATAGGCTATTTCATTGCACCACAGGCAGGCTTTCGTCAAGTTTCGGTTCTATCTCAGTTCACTTTCAAATGCACAAACTGAAGCAACAAATAATTAGGCTTTGAAGCGCGAAATTTTCTTATCGCTGAACTGATGATTGTTGCAAAGGTGAAAATACATAACACTGTTCAAAAGAAATCAAGAGTTGGTTTAATAGACATGTAATCTTAATTTTGGGGATTTGAAACAGAGGTTTAGGATAGTAGGGTTTAACCAACCCCCGTCTTGGATTCAATGAGCATGCGCAATAACAATTAATTCTTATGCGCAAGCTCTTTGACTCCAAGAATGGGGATGATTTAGACACGAGAAGACATGAGAAATGGAAACATAGCAGAAAGAATAGGAAATTATTTTCTTGACGACGAACTTCAAGTATATAAAAACATCACGTTTGTACAATTGCGAAAAACCTTGATACAAAGGTAGGGTTTCCGCACAGGTAAAATGCATCAAGGGGGTGTAGCTTTGTCTAAATCGATCAAGGTTCAGTACGAATGGATCGGCAATAAATGCTCACAATCGCTGATGCGGAAAGTCTGTCTTAGTGTTGAAACACACATAAGAAAGACTAAGTTGGGCTGATCTGATCGATTTCGATTTTCGCACTGGCAAAAAAGCCACCATTACGAAAAATGTTGCTTGATAAAGTTGCTTGTCCAAAAAATTTCAAAATGGATATAAAAATACTAAAAAATGGTTTTTCTTAGAGTCTGAAGGGTGTGGCCGAGAAAATTTGTTTTTTTCCACCCCAGTTTTTTCGAGCTGGTGACGCCACGGGAACCAATACACAAACCTTACAATTTTGGCGATGCTCATATATTTTTTGGCGAATGCCAGAAACCACTTCAACTACCTGACTTTAACTACCTTATTTCGCAGAGCCATTTAAAACTGAGAGACAATCGCCCTTCCAGCCCAGCGGGCATTTCTTTGCTTCAGACAATAGACTACTGCCCTCTTTTTACAAGGATGACATTTAATTAACAAAGAGCTGTCGCTTTAGCTTATACTTCAGGATTGAATACTGTTTTTTCATCTTGATTTGCTCTGGCAAAGTAGCGAATTAAACAAACTAAAGCTCTTTCACGCTCAGTGCATAGAAACAAACAGTGACACAACCACGAAAGAACTCTAGCAGACGAGAAGCTACCACAAAAACAGGTGACGAAGACTGATTTATCCACCAAAAGTTGATTGATATGATTGGATAATTTATTATTTATCTTTGTTTTTAACTCTGAGTCAGGCCAAAAGCCTAATGGACTTAGAATCTGGCACAAATGCATGACATCGTGTCTTTGCACCATCAATAAAAAAGATATCTTAAGCACAAATGGGCTAATGCAACGAAAGCTTTTGCCCCCTTCAAATGATAAATTTGAAACGGTTCTACACACCTTTAAAGCCGAAGGGCGTACCATTCCTTTTAAACATTGTACGAGATTTTTGACAAAAAAAAACATTCGGGGAAATTATTTTGAAAATGCAACAATTTGTTCAATGACGTACGAGATTTTCATTGAATTAAATGTCCCGCTTTTAAGATCTTCAAGCTGAGATTAATTCAAGATGTTGCTTACAACCATATCTGAAAATACTGATTGGATTTTACTCTTGTATGAATATTTATAGAGTCTACTTTATGGCCCCAAAAAGTGGCGTTTTTTTCGGGGGTGGGGCAGGGGTTCAGAGGGGCATGGCCCTTTGCTTGGCCCCCTAGTTTTGTACAAAAGTTACTATTAATAGTTACTATTTTTAGCGAGTAGCTCTCTTATATTTTGCGCAATACGATCTTTATTGCATTTATTCAAAAAGCTAAGGGCCCTGATAAGCATTTTGAAGTGAGCATTATTGAAATTCTTGACAACGATTGTTCTTTTTTGATTTTATATTTGCTATGAATTATTATCACAAAAAGCTTTTTGGGGCTGACTACGCAGAGTAAGCCCGAACCAAGCTTCTTAGCATCTTGTTGAAAACCCTTTTCGCGTAGGGAAAGGCCCCGCTAACTGAAAGCAGGCCCCCGGCTAGCCCTCTCAGATTAGATTCGCCACTGGGCCTCAATGCATTACTTCAGAATTCTGCAACTAGAGCTACAATACCATGATTAAATGATGGAGGAGTAAAATAATTCAAAGTGTTCTGGTAGAATGCTTCAGAAGCAAATTTCACAGAAGCAGACTACTTTAGAGGGTATTTGCTAACAAATTAGTACAATTGCATCGTTTTATGTGCAATTGAATTATAAATTTAATTAACTGGTACATTATTTCTTTCTATTGGTCCATGTCTTTTGTTCTGTTGAAAACGATTGTTTAAAGCTAGAGGTATAAATGACATTATAATTGGTGCCATAATTTGATTGCACTCGTTAATGAAAAAGCGATAGGATTTCAATAGGAGCATTGAGTGGACTTGATTTCAATTGCGAAACCTCTTTGTTGTTAAGCTTTTCGACATGAGTGGAATGTGGTGAATTAAATTTCAGCAAATTTGGTGAAGTTTTGCAAGGATCAGAACTGGTTAATTCCCTTATATTTTCAAAAAACATGCCCCTTATTAAGTGCAAAAATCGGATATTTGAGTAAACCATCGACCGAGGTCAGTATTATCGACAACCACCCCCCTCTTGTACCAATCTCTATTTATTCGCCTTACTCTTTAAATCATAGTGTAATAAAAAGGGCCTTTAATTGTCAAACTGTGGCAAATAACTCGGAACATATTACGATCAGAGATGTTGCAAAAGGTAGCTCTTATGTAGTTGAAACCATATGGCCCACCGTAGGAGAGGTTGCTAACGATGCAGCAACAAACGTCGCGATTCTGTTAATAGAGACGTTGGGCAGAGACAGCAACCTTGCTAGTTTACACAAGACTGTGGTCGTGCTTCAAGCCCTTTTATTATAGGTGTAAATCAATGTTACAATCATTTTATTCACAAGCCTTTCAAGCTAGCGAGAACCTGGCTGATTGATCGCCTCAAGCTCTTGAAATTCAAGAAATATATGAAGCGATACTCCATGAAAATAGCTGGATAAGAATCTCGGGAAACGTACCGCATTTTACATGCTGTGGTTTTCCCTTAATTTATCATTATTTCTAATTAATTCTTAGATCGGATTGTGACTCAGCCTTCGATGCAAACTTTCACTTTGGAATGAAAACATTTGCTTCTGAGCTAAGAAGCCGATCTAGACATAAAATACCACATAAGTAACTTCGCGATTCGAAGGAAAGGATTTCAAGTAGACGACTTTTGTAAGTCTAAACTCTAATATAAAGATCTTTAGAAGTTTAATAAAAGCCCGTTCGTTGACCAGATTGCTCTTTTGAAAACCGACGTCGCTTCTGAGATTTACCACTATACTCTCAAAAGAACTATTTGAAACTATGTGAAATCTGGGGCAAACTTTTGCATAAAAAACGCAAAATAAAAGCTGGAATCTAGAAAAGTTCTTATAATTGTACGAGAATAACATTAGGGTTCAAGAACTTTGTTGTTTCTTTGTAAGGTTTAATGGACGGCAAACAGCGATCTCAAGTGTTATCATCCAGCTCGTGGACATGAATTCCCCAACAGATGGTCATTCTTAGAACAACCCTATCACTGTTCAATGAAGACAACAAAGTCACTCACCAGAAACAGCACAAAACGTAGAGATAAGTAAAGACAATGAAATACAGCAGCCTTGATACATGTTCGTTGTCGAACTGAACTCTCAATTCCATAAATCTCGTCTCGGCCAAGATTAATTCTTTGCTCTGCGTAATCCTAAACATGCAAATAATGATGTCTAAAGCGAGTATGGCACGGCCTCTTTGAGAGCAAGAAAAGAGAAGATCTCGCAATACATCCGCGCACGGGGGGTCGCAATCGTAAAAATTGAAATCTGAAAACGGGGGATATGTTTTATTGAGATCGTATATCACAAGAAAGGTTTTTGTATGTAACTACAAACTAAAACCTTTTCGCATTTATCTATAATTCATCGGCGGTTTTAAGGGAACAGGGTTTGGCTTGGGTTTTCTCATAATTCTTTACCAGACAAATATAATATAGGCTTTTGATATCTGCCAAATGTACACTGAAAAGAATTTATGAAATTGCAGGAATTTCACAACTTGTACACAGTGGAACCGCCAACAACCCAGAAATAGCGGGATAAATGGAAAGAGGAACAATTTTCCTCTAAAAACCAGTACCCTTATTTAATGCTATTATTTCGAAAAAATTGTTCGTCTATTTGCGATTCGATGAATCTCTCTTCCCTTCTTTTCTGTCGGCCTTAATTGTTTTCGCGACCAATGTCAAGAATTGACAACTTTGCTCGTTTGGAATGTGTTCATTTATAAAGGGAAAAGTTTCTCATATCTAACAAAACAAAACCTTTAGTCAAGTCAAATATTTGGCTTTGAAAAATTAGATCAAACAAATGTACACTTTTTACGCAAAATTTCGGAATTCACTGAAAGTATACGTGACGTTGCAATTACATAGGTATCAAAGGCAGCTACTGACACTGAAATTTTTAGGTAGCACTACAAGGCACAGAATGGATATTCGGTTGTCTTCTCTTTTCTTAATGCTAATCAACATGTTTTCATAACAAATCATAAAGCATCTCATCAATTCTTTTTATTTGTACGTAAAAACTGTAAGATTTAAGAAGTACGAGAACTATTTGAAATAACAAGTTTCCATAATTAAGTTTATTAAAAGGCAAGAAAAGTAGAAAGAGGTACAAAAAGGGTTTCCTAGTGCAAATTGACAGGACGATATGACTTGTTTTTCTAAAACATAGGTAGTTTCAAAATCTGTAACATATCATTATTGATGTAATTCTGAGATTGTCCATATAATAGAATATTAATCATTTTAATCGTTATTATTATTTAAGTTCTGTCAAAGCTTCAAAATAATTTCTTCAGTACTTGTATCTTCAAAAAGAATCTCTTGCAAAGAAAAATACTCGACCTAATTTAGACACATTGTCTGAAAACATGGGTTTATGGCTTTTCTTAAGTTTTTTCCATGTATACATTAGCAATACATATTTTTAAGTTATACTTAGGTAAACTCTCTTTTTCATCTATACATTGTCATTAATACCCGCATTGAAAATTTTTTGTTTTGAAAGTAACTTGTTTATGCAGAAAAAAATAATTTTGCGTTTGTGTTGGAATTTGTATTACCTATGGTAGAATTGCCTCGTTGAAACAATGTCCGTGCGAAAAAGATTGTAGAGGGCTGGCTACGAAAAATCTGTAGGAGATTTTGAATGTGAATATATTTGCAACGCTTGTTGCAATAGCTCAAAGAACAGAAAAAGCTCCAAGAACAGAAAAAGCTCCAAGAACAATTTGCTTCGCAAAAAGATTAATAACTTCACGAAAAGAAACATGTCCTTACAACTTCATTGAAAGAAAGATATGTTCTTACAACTTCATGGCAAAAATAAATGTTTTTACGTCTTCTTAGTTACAATTATCGGTATTCGCGCCATTGGCTCAACATGATTTTAAGCCTTTCTCAAACACAAGCGTCCTAGTGCTCTTTTATTGGCGTTGCAATTCACTGGTCATTATGCAAATAATTAAAATCTAGTCAGATGAACTAGAAGTCTTTCTTCAAAATGTAGAATACCTCATTAATGCCGTCAAATTTCCAAGCCTTCCGATACTTTTTGGAAAAAAAAGCAAATACACACCACACAACCAAACAACCAAATTCTACTCGTTATGTGTGTGCGTTATCGATTATCGATTTCATTCTAAATCAGCCCAATAACTTGAATTTCTTTCCTTTATCGCGAGCTGTGCATTCTTATTTCTTTTCGTTTCATGAAAAGGGCCTACATGTATCTCTCTAGAATAATTTGTGTTATACAAGTATCTAAAGATTATGCTCTATGCCCGGAAAGTAATGAGGTCATTACTAGAAATTCATATCTTTGTTCTCATATATTCTTTTTGACAGAAAGTTAAACTCTTTTTATCGATCTACAAGGACCTTAAGTTAAGCTCATCCAGCACAAATAGGATACAGAGCGAGCAATTCTTTTCTATTTCACATTTCTAGTGAATAGTAAATAATCACTGGATTTTCCCAGCCATTGACAATCATACTTTTTGCAACACTTGCATAAGTTTGAATTGCCCACTGTCCACGTCGACTGTTAATATTAAAATTAGGAGATTAACAGCATCTTTTATCGTTTGATATGATTCCAACAGTGCAACGAGATACGTCACAATGCAAAATCCGTTAATCTTGGTTTAGCTTAGCAAGATTCCGTACTTACCGAAGAACGCTTTGCTAACTCTTTTGTCCCTTTTAGTTAGTCGGATTGAAGATCACGATTTCATGCAGGATATTGTATACAAGAGATAATTATAGTGAAGATTGTTTACAGAGACAAAGAAAACCGGTTTCTTATCAATCAGGAACGACACGTTTTACTTGTCTCTTACGATCAATTGTCGAATCTCATGCTGCAGTGAAGTAATAAGGAAGTTTTACTTGCAACTTATGGGCATGCTTAGCCTTAAAAACAATTTTCCCTCAGGCATTTGGTATGCAAACCAGGTGCTTGAAAACAGGCATTCATAGTGATACTTAGCACAGCATCATGATAAAAGGCAACCAAGTTTAGGAAGAGAAAGAAAATGCATCTAAAGACAGACATGGTTGCTGGGGAGAGAGCAAGTTGATTGGCTGTCAAACATATGAAGCACGTAAATGCTTGTCAGCATATAGGAAAATGCATCCAATAAAGTTCCCATCAAAAGACAGCATTCTACAGCGGATTCTAATTAAAGAGGACAGATTTTGAGGAGGCACATTGCGTCCAAAATTTATCTTTACATTCAAAGATGTAGAGAGCTCTTTACTTGAGAGCTCTTGAAACATTCAAGCAACGGTTACTACCTACAACGGACTGCTCTAAAACAGACTTAAAATTTGCTCCTACACCTGTCCAATATATTCAGGTTCTATTTGAAACTACATTAAAAATAGACACAATTAAAAACAGCAGTCGTTAAAAAGGTACTTTTTCTAGTACTTCATATAGAGACAATAGAAAATTTACCAGTGAAAGGCCCCTAGATCCATTATTTGCTCCGAAGAATACTAGCCAATGATCCTGTTGACCATACACTACAGTGATCAAAAAAAAAACTAAGAAAAGAAATAGAAAAGTTTTGGCTTAATATAGAGCATTAAATGTGCTAAAGGGAAAGTAATGAAAATGTGGTTTTAGAGAGTACCTGACCAGAGTCGATGCATAGCTGCCTTCGCAAAGTGAAGAAACCAATGCAGCACTTCGATAAACTTGGAATTTTACGTATATTGCAATGGAAAGCTCGTATTCAAAACTTTAGTCGAATTTTCCGGCAGTAGATAGTTTTGGCTTTATCAAAATTGGCATTTCATTACAGGCTAAACTTTGAAACGAACCACAATTAGTGTTCATATCAAATGATAAACTTTACCATAATATGATCATAAATCGCACGATAAGAAAGTTTATATCAACATCTTGATTACATATGCTTTATTATAAATGTTTTGCTCAAAGAAGAATGACATCAGTTCAAAAGCAAAACCTTTAGATGACTTTGTGTAACTAACTTACAAGCATGATTAGGTGGAACTTTTGCAAAGCAGGACATAGAACTGTCGATTTTTGACAACCAATACATGACAACTGATATTGGTCAATCAATATGTGACAGCCGATATATGACATCATATTGACAATGGTGACATATGACAAGTAACATTTTAAGTTACTTGCATAAATGACTGAAAGGCTATGTTAGCTATTCAGACAGCTCTGTAAATTGTGTCTTTATGTAAAAGCTAAAAACACAACACAAAAAATGCTGATAATCTTAATGTAAAAACGTTTTCAGACAGATTCCAGACAAAGGACAGATTCTATCAACGGACATTGACATTGTAACAATGGACGTAGGTTTGGACATAGATTTACCTGTATCAAAATTGATGAACTGGCAAAAAGTATCTTTTTCTCTAAAAGTCAAACGTTTTTTAAACAACAAGCTTGTCTAATGGAGTTTGATTTGACATTGTAATGTAAAAAACCAACAGATGCGGCAGTTCAGTTGGAACAGAGTATCTAAATCTTTCAAACTCTTCACTGACTTACTTATAGGTAAAGTTTGTATAGTGTCTGAGCATTCAGAGGATAGGGTATGTGGATAAGCCATCAATAGCAAATCAGAAGATTCAAACGTCTATTAAATGGGCAAATCGTAAGCTTGGAGATGCAAAGTGGAGTTGCTTAGACATTTCGTTATAAAATAAAATATTGTGCAAGAAAGATCGGTAAGTGGCTCGATAAACATTTTCTCTAATTGAAGCCAAGAAAATGCGATTGATTTTGAAGAGGAATGAATGGCAGGATTATTTGAATGTTGAAATAAGATGTTTTATCTTGAATCAAAATTAGAGTTGATATTATTGATAGCAATATTTGATATTAATAATATGGATGTAAATTATCACATATCAGATAAACGAAAATACAGAGATGATAACAGGATTGGTGAGATAACTCTTAAATACCTTGGCAAAAACATTTTAAACTAATTTTTACGTCATTGAGGAGAGAAGATGTTGACTGAGTTAATTCAAATGATTAGCACTTTTTAGAAAAGGCCTTCAAGCACAACCGGTCTGTAGCATAGACTTGAGAATTCAGACGTATTATTGGAGGTTAAGAAACATAATTTGCCAATTGCAGACTGCAAGGTTACACTAGCAAAGCATTAAAACTTAGAATATCACCTGAAGGCCACAAGCCTTCAAGCAA